GATGTAGATATATGCTTTCTTAACTGCTCTTTTCTCACAGCTGTCATTTTTATTGTGTGTTTCGCTGTGTTATTGAGAGAAAAACATATACAATTCACTGTTTTCACAGTCACGTGACTGGCTCGAAGACCTGGAGGGCAAAACATTCATAGAACTGCAGTACAAGCCTGTCATTTTTTAATATAAATATTTAGATCACCTCTCAAAAGAATAAAAAAAAAATACATGAACAAAAATGTTTTGGCCATTTGCAATCCATATAAATCACTTGCTGCAATATTTTAATCACTAATAACAGCTTGACATTTTAAAATGTTTAATGTGAAAAACACTTTAGTGCCTTAATGTATTAAAACAGTGATATTAAATTATCAAATTCAGTAAACACCGTATTGATGATGCATACTTTATGCAGGCAAGCAGATGAGCCTAGGAATGAATGCAATGCGCTATGGCTTTCTAAGGGAAAACACTTAAAGGAATAGTTCACCCAAAAATGAAAATTACCCCATGATTTACTCACCCTCAAACCATCCCAGGTGTATATGATTTTATTCTTTCAAACGAATCCAATCGGAGTTATATTAAAAAATGTCCTGGCTCTTCCAAGCTTTATAATGACTGTGAATGGGGGACGAGATTTTGAAGCCCAAAAAAAGTGCATCTATCCATCATAAAAAGTGCTCCACATGGCTCTGGGGGGTTAATAAAGGCCTTGTGAAGTGAAGCGATGCGTTTGAGTAAGAAAAAATCCATATATTGAAAATTTTATAAACCATAATCTCTAGCTTCCGCCAACTGTTGTACGTGCATTCATGAGAGAGTGGCGTTTCAGAGGATGACGTAGGACGTAGGCGTACCGTAAGTTCCGGTCAGAATTTACGAATAAAAAAAGAACGTTGCCATAAATTTATCTGGGCCCTTGAACCACAATAACATAACAACAACAACAACAAAAAAATTGTGCTAAAAAAAAAATTAATACTAATCTACTTCACTTTATTGAAATGCTTTAATTTGTGTTATTTTAATCAGAATCAGAATGAGCTTTATTGCCAGGTATGTTTACACATACGAGGAATTTGTTTTCGTGACAGAAGCTTCCACAGTGTAACAGAATGACAGTGACAGAACAAAAAAAACACAGATAATAAAAAAAAAAATAGAAGTAAAATAAGGAATAAAAAATAAATCGACAATTGTATGTACAGGTATAGAACAATAGGAAGGGAGGGTTGTACCAATGATTCGCTCAGCAGTCCGGACTACCCTCTGTAGTCTTCTGAGGTCAGATTTGGTAGCTGAGCTGAACCAGATAGTTATAGAAGTGCAGAGGACAGATTCAATGATGGCGGAGTAGAACTGTTTCAGCAGCTGAAACAGTTCTAATTCAGCTTAGAGGCCACATCAGTCTTCTATTGGTCATACATCATACATCTTCACTGTGGAGAGACAAATTACTTGTCACTGGAAAATTGTGTTGCACCTTGTCTGGAGGGTACAAGTAATTTTCACTACATTGTCTCTACATCATATATGTAATATATGTAATTTAGATGGAGACACTCATCAAGGACATCATGTAATTGTGTCCACAATTTAAGCTCAATTGTCCTTTATTTTAGGAGGACAGGCTGGTTTAGTAACAAAGGCCCTTTGATTCTGTGGAGACTATGATGGAGACTCCTTGTGCATATAGGGAATAATTTCAAAAAACATAATCGTCTTAACTGGTGCTATTTATAATGTTATTACCGAAAATGAACCCAATCTGGCCTTTTTAATTGGAAAATCCACAGTGGTTTTTCCAGGACCTAGTATTATTACCCCAGGAAAAAATTGCACAACTCCGTAACCTTAATAATCTAATAATTTTAGAATCTGCTTTTCCATTAAAATGCCAGCAAGCATAACCAACTTTTAAACATCAAAGCATAGTCATGATGACTGTAACAAACGTTCGCAGTTCGGGAAGAAGGAGGCGGGAACCGGCGAACATTTAAACAAAACTTTAATCAAATAAACAAACACAAAATGAAAGTAAAGCGGCAGCCCCTCGCGGACGACTGCTGCACACAAAACACA